TATCTGTAAATATTCGTGAATTTCTCTCCTCCCAAATAATCCAACAGACTGCAGCCCTCATACACCTCCACATAAACTTGGCCCTTTTTGTTGGCCGAAACGGCATAAATGTGAATAGGTTTGCACATTCGAAGGGGGGGGGGGTCCACCTGCACCCAAACAAAGAAGTACACCACTCCCAAATGATGTTAGTGAAACGACAGAAGATTAGTAAGTGATACCCAAACTCGCCATCAGCTTTACAGAGGACACACCGGTGAGGACAAAAACAACTATTGGGTCTTTTTCTTTGAAGTAAATCTGTTGTATTAACTCTTTCCAGAAATGCTTCCCAACAGAAACTCCCAACCTTAGGAGGTATAAGATGACACCACACCTCTTTAATAGGGAAAGACAAGCCAGAAGAAGAAGAATGTGTGAGAGCACTAAAGAAAGAGGCACAAGTGAAAGAACCAGAGGGGGTGAGAGTCCAAATTCTACTATCTGCCTTTGTTGGCTCTAGGAACACCCCTTCAAGAATGGATAACAGTGATGAGATACCACCAAGCTCTGTGTCCCTGATATCTCTTCGTAGGCCCAAGTTCCATCCGACCCCAAAAATAGAATTAGAAGGAACAATGAATGAAGACACCGATTCATTTTTGAAAGTGGAAAGGGAAAAAAGGCTTGGGAATTGGTCTTTTAGGGWGGAGTCCCCAATCCAAACATGTTCCCAAAAATTAATGAGATTGCTTGAATGCAAGTCATACCTGATCCACGGAGAAAACAAAGGTAGAATAGCTTGAATARCTTTCCAAGGATATGCTCTTGTACTCCTTGCCAGAATCCCAGAGTCCCATCCATTTGTTGCAACCCCATGAATACTTCCCACTATCTTCACCCAAAGTTTGTCTTTCTCCAATGAGAACCTCCAAAGCCATTTCCCAAGAAGAGCCAAGTTCCTATTCCTTATATTTCTTATATCATTCTACATTATGAGAAGATCACCTCCAAGAAGGATTTACAAATTACTCTTTGTTGGAAGCATATGAATCTTCATGACCATGGATATTCAGACATCTCATTAAAGACAAGATCTTTGGCATCCACATTGAACCTTTGCTCTACTCAATTTGAAGACCTACTAAGTCAAATCCAGTTAATATAGCTAAATAGCAGATGAGGAATATGTCAGGCTTAGGAAATAATTTTTGTTTACTTCTAGTGAGTAACTTGTTTTTGTATAGAGATGTGAGACTTTGGGTGGTTCTTTGGTTAAGATTCTTGAGGGAATTATAACATATTGAYATCATGCCATCATATTCAATTGGGAGCCCTTTATTTGGGACCCCCCCCCCCCAAAACCAACTTGCCAGCAGTTCCATTCATCAAATGCAAAAAGAAAACAAGTACAACTAGGGGGAGATGAGAAATCACCCAAAAACAAGAACAAAATTACACCAACTAGAAAAGCATACAACTTTCAACCCTTCGGTTCCAACTCTAAGACTGACCAAAAACCAATCCCAAAGAGTCTTTACAATCATCCACGAATTATGGAAGAACCATAATCCAATTCAAAAATTCTTTTTCCAATAATTAAGACAAGATGATTATGACATTCTTTCCATAATTCACAACAAAATTGCAAAGGGACCCATCATTGAATGGGTCCCCACTGAAACACTGGATAAGCCAAAAGCAACATATCTGATGATTTTTATCTATCTGATCCAGGCCTTATTTTTAGAACATCTTCTTAAGACCATCTTGGGATCAAGACAGAATTGAAAATGGGAGAGGGACCAATTCCACTATTTGGGTTCATTTTCTTAACAGAATGGAATTAGAAACTATGGGACTTTAAGCATTCAATTCCACATTTTTGGCAGATCTAAAATTCCACAGGTTTCTAGTCCAATCAATACCCTTATTAGGGTAACACAGCTAAAGAAGGAAAGTAATGTTTATCAGGACACTAAGTTTCAATAAATTGATGCAACAAGATGATCCATAAACTATAAAGATACCAAAGAGAACGTCATTATGTGGCTGACCTTAAAAGCACAGTTACCAAAAGCTCAAGAATGCCCAAACTAGAAGAGAACATACCCCTTATTGAATAACATATCAGCTAAGCCAGAAAATGTCCTTGGCAACTGCATAGAGACATGCTTGGATCCTGCTCAAGAATTAAACAAGTCAAACATAAAAAGACTTTGTACAACCTGTAAGCAAAGACTATATTTTGAATTCAACAGAACATTATGTCAAGATGTTAATTTTTCAATGTCGTGTTGTTAAAGGATGCCAATATGAATTCATCAACAGAAAATGCCAACTAGACATGACGCTTCAATTTTCCAATTATCCATCTTCATGGGGTAAAATGGCTTGGAAGGTCACCATGATGTACTCTTTGCTAATGGCTGTGTGAGAGTCTCAGAGATAAGGCCTCCAAGAAATAGCCTTAGAGGCTCTATCAAATCCACCTAGAAGTAGTCATTGACCAAGCATCGAGGAACAAGGAACCTCAGGCTGGCCTAAGCCCAGGCCACCATGCCTGAGATACAAACCCAGGCCAGATCTAATTATGCGTAGGATTAAAAACCAACCTAACTATGACGGATAAATCACAAATGTTTTTTGTATGCTGGGGCAAATGTTTATTTAGTATCTTTTTTATTCAAATTATTTATTTAGTATCTTTTTTAATTCAAGAAAATAATATGCCCAGACAAATGTTTCATTTTCTGTTTATCTATGAAAAAAGATATTTATATTGTGTTTTTTTAAACCCCATACTTTACTCCCGGTGGAGGGGTTGCCACCATTGAATTGTCACATTCACCACAGTTTCTTCTTTTTATGGACATATAGCACTGTTCAATGCTAATCTCCATGTTTGGTAGTGGTGTATAGGGTTTGTTAGACAAAAACCAATGGAAATAGTTGTATTTTGGCTGTTTCAATCATTTGGGTCAAGAAAACCCGCTTCTAGATTGCAGGTGAAGAAAATGAACTAAACAGGTTACACCTAAACCTACCTAGCTATTGGCCTATACAAGTGTCTCTAAAATGTTTCGCTTTCGAATGCTCCTTTTTCCTTTAAATGTTACATGTGCACATAAGCCATGTTAGATGTGTTGAGCCACATTTGTTGGTTTCTTATATATCTACTATGGCTTTTGTCTAGCTATTCAATTTTTTTCTTTTAACCAACTTTTTTTAATCAGCAAAGAAGAATTTATTTATTTATTAAATTGAATAACAGGTTAAAGTTTCTTTAGTTGCTTTGCACTCCAGAGTATAGCAATATACAAAAAGTCCCAGATTACATGGATCAGCATCCTTTTGTTGTAATGCAGTCAAGCATGTAAGAGTGCCATTGTCTCTGCCTGAACTGAGTCTCCATACCCAATTGGTCCTGCAAACAAAGCCACAACTTCTCCATGACGATTTCGAATTACTCCCCCTATGCCTACTCTCCTAGGGTTTCCATGGGAGCTACCATCAAAATTCAGCTTCAATTTATTTGGCTTTGAAGGTTTCTAATCCATCTTAGTAATTTCTTTATGTGTTCCCATTTGTGCCACTTCCTTCCGTTTCCTCATTATATCATTTGTTGAGATATCTTTGAATAATATCAACAGCTTTTACCCAGTGTGCATATCTGATTTTAACCGTTTCAACTACTTCCTCTTTAGATCTGCTCTTTTCATTGAATATCATTGATTTCTTTCTTCTCAAATGGTCCAAACTGCAGCTGCGCTTGTGACCTTCCATAAGCATTTTGCCCTTTTTCTATAGCCACAAACATTAGAACTGAATAAGCTAACCACATCTTGTGGGAGGTCCCATCTGCAGCCATAAAGTGAAGAAAAGTAATCCCAAATGCAAGACACAAAAGAGAATGAAATTAGTAAATGAGGAAGGGTCCCAGCACTAGCCAAACAGAGGATACAAACATGAGAAGGGAGGCACTTAACTAAACTTCTTTAACAAGTAGTAGGTATCGGGTATTGTATTGGACAACTTGGATACGGATACAAATACGAATACGCTTTGGAAACGCATGGATACAGACAAAAAAGATGAAAACGCAAGGATACGCTAGGTAAATACATATGAATTTCATAAATATATTAATAACACTAAATTTAAGATCAAAATGATCACAAAATAGTATATAAATACATAAAAATGTAAATATTAAGGATATATATGAAGAAATATATTACGACTAATGAACCGGGATGCATAATTTTATTTATAGTGCATCAATCAAGAGTCCAAGACACTAAACATATGCACCTATTATATTTTAATTATTATATCAATTATTTTTATTTTATTATTTAAATTTTTTAACATTAAGAAAAATTCAACTAAACATTAAATTTTCAAGTGCAAATTAAAATATCATTAATAATTTATAAAAATATAATCTTAACTTAAAGTATATCAAATTTGTTAAAATTTCTAAGATGCATATCATATACAAATTCATAGTTTTTAATTACTAAAATAATTATTCCATTATTAATATTTTATTTATATAAATTTTATAAAATAAAAAACCATTTTTTAAAATAAATGTAGATTAGTGGGTTTGATAGATTCAATTTAATATTATATTCTTCAATATTTTGTAAATAATAATTTTATTTTATTTTTGTAAATAATAAATATGTTGTTATTAATTATTTTAAATTAAAGTATTAGTCAATAACTAATAAAAGTATATAAAAATTTTAAGATTTATATCATATGCAAATTTATAAATTTGAAGTATTAAAATAAATATTCTATTTGTATAAACTTCTTGATATTAAAAATCATCTTTTTTATATAAATGTGGATTTGATACATTATTTATTCTATTAGTTTATAAAGTACTATTTTTAAATATTATTTTTTAAATTTTTAGTTAGAGTTGTTAAATATAAATATGTGTTTTTTATTTAAATTGCATGTGAACAAAAACGTTAATAAAATTTATTTTATTTCACTTTATATCACGAAATGTAGCGTGGCTTACTGGATTGGAAACGTAGTGAAATCTAAATGCGCGTGAGGTGACTCGAGTTCGAATCACCTCATTCGCATTTTTTATGAAGATTACAAAATGGATGCAGCGCGTATCGGCCAATACGCATCTGTATCCGTTCGATACGAACGATTGACGGGATATGCTTGTATTCGTAGCGTATCTCGTATTGTTACATACTGATACCAATACGATACGCCCCGTATCGGGACGTATTGTATCGATATTTAAATCCTTGGTAGGTATTAACCTTTCCAAGGAACACTTCCCAACAAAGAGTTTGCACTTTGGGAAGGATTGGCTTACACCAAATTTCTTTCACTGGGAAATTTTTCCCCCAATGGTTCTGAATGGGTAAGGATGTTGAAGGAGGAGGTACATGAGAAAAGACCATCCGGAGAGGGAGACCAAATTCTACTATCCATGGAATTTTGATCCAAGAAGACATCTTCCAATATTGAAAGCAGAAGAACTAGGGATTCACATTCATTGTCCTCAAACCCCTTCTAAAGCCAAGGTCCCAATTCAAACCAAGCTCTGAAAGCAAGCCAAACCTGGCAACAAGCTCAACCTTATAGTCTAACAAAGCATAGAGTATAGGGAATTGTTGTTTAAGGGGTGATTCCCCTAGCCAAAGGTCTTCACAAAAAAGGACTTTGTTTCCACACCCCACATCACAACGAATAAAATTAAGGAAAGAAGGAAGTGCCTCAAAGATATCTTTCCAAGTACCTAAAATTTTTGGCCGAGCTTTACAATCAGGTAAGATTAAAACTTGATCAGATAGTGCTTTTTTTTTCATTCTATTCCAAATACCTATGTTTTGGAGTTATTTGAAGAAAAGGAAAGAAGCAGGAAGCCTTGGTAGAAACAATAACTTTGAGAGTGGCACACTAGGCAAAAAGCATGAAGTTGCTTTCAAACTTCAAGGTTGATGATTTCTTGAAAACTGTTTGTTTAAACACCTCTATCTCTTATATTAGATATTTACAAAATTCTATTTGAACACATCTACCCTTCTCTCTGTGTCTCTTTCAAACTCAACAAAACATTGCAATTTTTTTAGGTGGTTTATCTCTTTCAAAACCAGGTAAAATTCTATTTAGAATTTTTAAGGCATATCTATCTTCACTGAATTTTTTTTAGAAAAAGTTCTTCCTTAGTTTCTAAAACTGAGATGAACTATTTGGTTCTGTTACATGGGTGGCTTGAGTTGCTTCTGTTTGTAGAGGAAGTCACTGATTGATACATACTAACAAGTTTATTTGTGATAGCACAATCTCAATTATAAATAAACAGATCAGTTTACCAGTGTAACTCACATCGGTTACTGACAATTTATCTATGATTAAGGGTGTTCATTAAATTAATTAACTTAACTAATGAACTGAGTTAATTTGATTAAATTAAATAAATTAACACTGAACCAAAATAAAGTAATTAATATAACTTATTGTTTAACTCATTTCACTTATTTTAATTAAGTTATTTAAAATTAGTTAAATACTCTAATATCTTTATTAACTTAATCACTTATCCATTACATATTCTGCAATGGAGAACATTTCATCTGTTTTTCTGTAGATATGGTAGCTTGTGCTGTAATATTGGATAAATGATGTAAAGTTCTTATTTTCTTTTAATCCCTTGTGTCATCATATTGGATTCGGGTTTTCCCGTGAATTGCAGGAGGCCTCACTAGTGAAAACAAAAAGCAAGGTCCCTTAACAAAGGCGAACCAAAACAGAACCTCGAAGAGGTGACCCAAAAGAACTACAGATAAGATGTAGTAAGGACTTAATAACTTATTGTAGTAAGGCTTAATGTGCATTTCATCTTGAGTAGAACTTAAAACCAATTGTACAGAAGAGGAAAACGGTGCTTTAACCACATGGTAAGCAGTAATTATATGCAAAATAAGTACTATCTGTCGAAGACAACAGATCCAGGGCAGTTCAAGCACATTGAAGTAGATCAATAATTTCAGAAGAACTTTGGGCACAAGAAATCAATAACGAATTCACAGTGAATGCTTCCAATAACCAATATTGCATGCTCTCCAAAGTATTTTTTATTTTAGAGTGGATTAAGGGGGAAAATAAATAAAAAAAAAAGCAAGAAAGAAAGAAAAAAAAAAGGAAAAGAATAGTAAGAACTTCATGATTTTTCTGTTGGAAAAGGCACCTGGATTGTAGCCAAACAGATGGCGAAGAGGCTGTGCTGAGCGAATGAAACGATCCCCAATGAAGGAAGAGATGAGGCGCGGTTGGAAAGAGGAAGTGCAGACCATTCTCTCCCGCTCAACTCAACTGCGGTATCTTCCTCTCTATTCCACTGGCGAGTGACGACACAAGTTTGTGTGTGATAATAAAAGAAAGCCGAGAGATATTGGAGTCGAGGAACGAGGAATCATCATATTGAGCCTAAAGCCCAACTATCATAAAGTACAAACAAAGCCCATTTATCATCCGTTTGACCCACCAAAAAAATGATATGGATCGTTCGGAGACTAGACTATTCTGTGTTGCCTTGAGTTCGGACTTCGGGCCGAATATCTGTGCGGCTGTGTCCAAGCGTCTAGTAAGCATCTTAGGCCCAAGAACTAGTTGGGCCTTGCTTGGACGACATAAATGACTTACATCATGGTTGGTTCGATCGGTTAGTCTGTGGTTACTCCTGGGATGCGTTAAGGTAGACTTAATCCCAGCCTGATAAAAGGAATGCATAGACCCAGCCTTTAGCTGTTGGTATTCTCGTGATAAACCTGTAAATTCTCTCTCTCTCTCTCTCTCTCTCTCTCTCCCCTCAAAATTAAGGGTACAAATCCTTACTTTGAAGAATTTACACAGAATTGGGCTCGAGCCCTCATGCCAGGCCCATTCAAATTTTAACAAGTCTACAACTCAAACCCGCCCAAGTTGCACTTCTACTCAAAATATATTATGTATCCCTTAATAATGATAATATTAAAAGTTACATAATCGATTCAAGTATTAATTGAGTTGGAATAACAGGTAAAACCTATCTTGACTGCACTATAATTGAAATTTAAAACGTAGACCTAGACCTCATGTAACAGGGTCAAGCCGGTTCGGGTATTTTGGGTTGCCAGGAGTCACAGGACCATTGACACCCCAAAATTTTGGAGCTCGAAAATTGGTGGTTCAGTGTTTCCACTCCAGTTCCACAATTCAATCACCATGGGTCTGGCCACATTAAGCACTATGGATAAGGGACTACAAGACCCGGATAGTAAACCCGCATATGACATACAATCCTGCTTCACATACCTTTTCTATAGATAATCCAGGTCCAGGCCCAATTTTAGTTTGGGCCTAGATTGGGTAAATCAGACTGAGATGGGCCATGAAGATAACCCAAGCTAGCTTGAACCCAATCCACCAGGTTGGGCAAACATTGCCACCTCTATTCATTGATGCATATGCAACTAGGTCCTGCTAGGTAGGAGAGGAAGCAACCAAAGTTTTTTTTTTTTTTTCAATGCCAAGGAAGCAACCAAAGTTCAAAGTATCAATATATATTGCATTATATTGTCTATCATATCAGTATCAAGGGCCTTGGAAATGATAAATATTGAGAATTAGAGAGTTTTTGACAGTTTACCCCATTTGCTTTTCCGGAAGTTATTTACCCAGGTGAATGCATTTACCTGGGTAAGTGTTTTCAGGCAAATACTTACCCAAATAAGTGTATTTATCCATATTCTTTATTTTCTAGATAAATAAGATAATGTCCATTTTAGTCATAAATTATCCGTGGACTTCATATAAATAAAAAAAATAACATAGGTATCTTGGTCAATGGGAACCAAAATCCCATTGACCAACTTTCCCCTCTCAAAATCCAAAAAATGAACAAGCCCTTAATAGTTTATTTGTGAAATATCAAACTGAAAAAAAAAAAAACATCCATTTTGGAAAGGATATAAAATTTCAGTGCATTCATGAGTATTGATATATTGAACCTTGGAGGAAACCCTAAATTTCTTCACTCAATGTGAGAAAATAAGGCAGGACGAAAGAAATGGATGGTACTATTTTTACTATTAAAATGTCTACACCTTTTTCCTATGGGCATATGGTGATAGAATTCACTGTATATAGACAATTTAAAAGTAAACACAGTACCATCTCCCCGACATTTCACCAAGCTCATGCTGTTTTACCTTGGTGGTCTAGACTCTCCTGGCCACGTACTTCAGATTAAACAAAGTTTTAAAAGAAAACTCTCCATAAACGATTGCAGTGTTTTAATGTAAACAAGGGGAAGAAAAGAAAAGAAAGTTTTCGCTTTTTATTGTAAAAGTTGGAAAAAGAATGGAAATATTTTCTCAATTGCATTCAAACAAATGGAAGCCTAATCGGGTTCCAAGGAAAAGAAAGGAAAATGCTTAAAGCGTTGGAAAATTGTAGAAAGATAAAAAGAATTATTGGACATTTCAATAATTGCAAACCGACGGAATAATCCAGATTCCTAGTCATATTTATAACCATGAATCATCTTGGAATCAAGATTGTTATGTGGGTAATGATCGACTCGATTGTCCGTCTCAGAATTGTCCCACCAATTCCGCCACGACCAGTAAAGCGGTCGAATATAGTCTGGGGAATTCAATAATTTCGACCTTAGTTGTATTGGTACTTGGTAGAACCATTGCAGCAGATAAACACGAATACCTGGTTCAGGTGCCTGACTCTCTGTCACAAACTCACTCACAGTCACAGACAGGATTAATAAAGGGAATAGGTTAGATTCACGTGGTAAACATCGCTAGCTCATTAACAAACACAGATTTCGTACCAGATTAATTCGGGCTGTGACTGAACAAACTGAAGTCGATCGGTCGAGTAGAGTCATAGCAATTGAACTGTCAAATACAAGCTGGATCTGAACCAGTTGGCGTTTTTTTTTTTTTTTTTTTTTGTGCAAAAGTGATTTACTTAGTATCCATCTCCATCAATGTCACTTAAAGCAAATTCTATACCCCGATAAATAATTTACCGAAAAACAAACGGGGCCTAAGTAAAATGGTGTTATGTCTCCAACCAAATGAGGATTGCGGGGCCAGGCTGGGGGGACAATCGCCATGGATAGATATTGGGTCAAACCATCACAAAACAACAAATATATTTATGAAGGTATGATGCATTTATTTGCGGTGATAATTCATTTGAACTATTATAAATGCATGAAAAAGCAAATTCTAGTTCCTTTTTATTTAGGCTGAGTTTGGAAGGAGTACAAATACAATTATGTAGTRTAAAACCTTGTATTTTGTATTATTTTGCATGTATTTGCACTATATATATTTACATTTGTACTCTTTTCAAACTCAGCCTTAGGTTTTATTTTTAGGTTGTGTGTTCAAGCTAGGCTAGGCCTCCATAAGGTTCACAAACTTCCAAGGCCAATGCCCAATACTTAGGCCCAGCGTAGCACATACGTAATTATATATTTATTTATACATATATATATATGCATGTTATATTTTATATTATACAATATGTAAAATTAATTTTATGCATATGATATAAAGTGTTATACATATTTAATGTTTTATAAAAAAAATCATAGGCCCAGAATTCAGTCTGGCCCAACTTTATCCCCGGCCTGTAGCCCTTATCATATGTGCTAAGCCCAACTCATGATGAATCCTACTCTGAACCGGCCATATTTACAATCCACTCGGATTCACCCATGGGTTAATGATTTCAAGTGATATTTGGAAAAAGGTGCTTAATAAATTTTGCAAATTTCCGAGGGGCTCTGAAATGGAACTAGCCACAAGGATATAGCGGGTGATGAGGGGGAGAATGTGGGGCTCTTTGGAGCCATATGACTACAATGCGACGTGAAAGATTCCAAGGTCGTTTAGACGTCTTTTCTAAATGACTCAACTGGCCAATGAACAATAAGATTATGCTAGATAGTAAGTATCTATTCCTTTCTGCTGCTTATTTATTTATTTATTTTTTTCCTTTATTCACAGCCAAGCCTATGACAGTAGAACCTTAATTAGGGACTGACGCTATAGGGAAATGCAATTGTGACAGCCCTACTGCTTTAGTTATGCGGAGAGAGAGATAATGTGGTCAACTTTCACTGTCGGTTAGAACGGGGATTAGTATTTTGGATTTTTCACACCACCCAACCCATATTAGCTCTAAACACCACAGCTTTCTGTAATTTCTTTTGAAGCTGACGATGAAGTGAAAAGAAAAAGATGGGGTAAGCAATTTCTTTGAACCCCCACTTTATTTTAAACAAAAAAGGGTACAAAATGGCCGCCTGAGTTAGCCACGTGKCATTGTAAGCAAGGCCATTGGGCAAAGTTGCTCTCGTGGGTTCCATTTGTTTGGAGTGAAATTTGATTTTCAGTAGTACAAATGCATGGGAGGTAACATGAGGGATTGCAAATCTAGTTCAATTTTGGTTTATCATGTGCACTTGTTCTATTTTGGATCTTKAAAAAGTGAGCATAACATTGACAATTCATAGAGATTGACAGTTCAACAATTCAGAGAGAGAGAGAGAGAGTATTAATTAGGTGTTAGTGAGAGCATTAATTAAATAGTTTCTGATAGGGAGGTTCGGATTGCAGGACAGGAGTTAGGTTGAGGCGTGCCTAGCCTAGCTAGCTAAGAGAAAGAGACCAATTATAAGTCACCCTTATCCTTTTTCATGTGAGTATGTGGTGCTCTTCATTTCAGTAACAGATGCATAGACGCTAAAATCAATTGAAAAGAAGTTGACCATTAGTACTGCTAGCTAAATAGGGGTCGTTTGGGTGATAAAAATTAAAGATGATAAAGCTGGCATGRGATTAAGTTTTGCAAATTGTATATGGTAATGGGTGCAAATWAAAATGATGTAGGTCCGGTATAAATTTTACCTCCTAGATGGAGATGGGAACGCAGCTTTATTAACAGAGGGTGGAAAGGGAAAATATGTTGATAATTAGCTTAGGTTGAATTCAAATTAATCCCACTCCCAGCAGGTTTGAGGCCAAGGACCTGTCTAAAGTCTAAACCTACACCGGCCCCCAACCACGCCTATAAGGTGCATGCATATGTAAACAAATAACGACAGGACTAGCGGGGTTATGCCGACTCAAATGCCGTAGCGCGAACAGACATCCTTCAAAGTCTGAAATTTAATTTCAGTCAGTCAGTTGAAACCATCCACAGTGAGAGTCCAGACACAGGAAGTGGATGCATGCGGCCATGTTGGAATTTGGAAGCATCTCATTTATAAGCGTTTTCTAGCTACTTAGGCCTTGGAAGGTCATTTCTTATAGGTTTGATATCATCTACCTGTACACGTACCTGTGGGCTAGCTGTAGATAACAAGAT